ATCTCATAAAATCATTCCTTTTAGTATATTTTTGAAAAATTCTATCATGGCCAAAAAATTATTACGAATTTTCACATTTTCCTAGCTTGAAAAATTTTCGCATGTCAGAATTTTTTTAAATTGGAAAAATAATTCAAAATACTAATAGAAATGATTTTATGAAATAAAAAATTGGAGTAACGGACCTTTTTTCGAGTTAAATTATTTTAAGCATAAAATATCTGCCATGTTAGATAAAGATATATAAACTTTATTTAAACACGTTGACCCCGTCAACCGAAGCTGATTTCCACGAGGGGCGTGCAAATAGTATACAGAAAAGAATTTTAATACTATTTATAAATCATATAAGATATATAGTACTATATGAACTAACAAACTAAGGTAATAATCTATATACAGGTAATATAATATTCTATGTTTTCAGTTATCTATCAATCAATGTGAGTAAAGATTTTCTTTCGAAAGGGAGAAAGGATGTGCTCTCTCTTATTTCTTTAGGAATAGAATTCCAAAGGTGTGCTCCGTCATACACAAAACTTTTTTCATATTATTAGTACGCGGTTGTGGTAAACAAAGACTACTTGAAATGTTTCGATCGAAGTTTGTAGTTTGTCACCTCACCCTTATACGTGAAGAGATTAGTGAGTGATTTAGGTCCCATTTGATTCAATAATTTGTACATGATTTTTGTTTTACTTTTCTTCCGTTTCTGTTTTAAGTGGCTTCCAACCCAATGCTTGCAATACAACAGAATTATCTACAGTATGTTATTGCTCGTATCCAAAATAGTCCGAGCAGCTATGTTTTGTAGTTTTGGGAGTCTTCGATTGCGTTTGTCATTGTTTCCATAGCAACTACAGTTAGTAGTTTTTGAAAAATTCATAAATCTTTAGTTATTGTGTTATGCCAGTCAGATGCTCTTTGTTTTTTAAACAAGTAATAACTGTCCAGAAAAGCATATCCAAATTAGAAAATCTTCGATTTCTACAACACCTGAGCAGATTTCAGCTTTTTCAGATTTCAGATTTCAGCTTTATTGTCGCAATAAATTCTACTTACACTATACTGCGTAGAGAAGCTGAGCATAAGTGGAAGAATTTTCACAGTGATCTGTATGACGAGAATCAACAATACCACCTATTGTATGAAGATGGACAGCAGGCAGTCTTCATACCCGGTTCAGACAAGGAGCCATTCACATTAAGCAGATACCACGAGGAATTAGGAAAAGACTTTAAGCGAATTACCTTATTTCTCTGCCCAAATCACGATTTTCTAAAAGCGGAAGGCCTACTTGACGATGAAAATGTTGATGATGATTGTGACATTTTCTCTGACCCTTCAGTCAGAACCCTTAGCAATGTTTCAGATGATGCTCAAGAGAATGACAACCCTGCCAAACGTCCTCGACACAATAGCTCAATCAGCATTGACCTCACAACTGCACCCACACAGGATGTAAAGCCTGATCGAGAAGATGATTCAGATAAATCAGATCAAATTGAACTAGATCATCAGCTGGCTAACCACTTACAGGATCTGTACGACAATGAACAATCTGCGGTTCCATCTGATGTCACGGCTAAAGAATCTAGTGAATCACCACCCTCAATAGTTGGCATTGTGAAAATGTTGGCCGAGAAAGTGGATTCATCAGACAAACAACTGTTTATTGTTTTGAGGCGAAATGCCCAACTAAATAGAGTACTTTCAATCTGGAGCAGAGAAATAAAAAGAAAACCTGCATCATCTCGATATGTGGTGAAAGTAAAATTCAGTGGTGAGCAAGGGATAGATTCTGGTGCCATGGGAAAAGAGTTCTTCACTTTAACTCTTTCTAAAATCGGTTCTAGTATGTTTCCTCGTGGAATACCTGTAGATTCGACACTTCACATCCAAAATGGAAACTTCAAGGCTTGTGGAGAGATCATAGCTGCAAGCCTCGCCCAGGGTGGACCTGCACCCCGCTGTCTTGATGCAACCGTGTATGATTTGTTGGTTAACCCAAGTATATCACTTCAGGAACTTAACTGTGAAACAAATTTAACAGCATCGGACAGAATTCTATTAGATTCTATTCTAGAGGATATAATGAAGAACACCAACACCATTATCGACCACGGTTATACAGGAATAATTGATGATTCCCACATTGGAGAAATTCGGCAGTCTATTGTCGTCAGCATTGTAACCAAGAGGTTAGTCTATCTGAATGAATTCATGCATGGGCTTGATTCGTATGGGTTAAGAAATATTCTCCAAACCCACCCCAATGTATGCAAAGCTCTTTTTGTGCAAGATGATCATGACGAAAGTGCTGTTGATGCTAATTACCTGTTTTCAATAATGAATCCAGAATTTTCAGAAGCAGGTAGCACACGGAAAGAAATCGAAGAATCGATGATGGATTTCCTCCAGGATTTCTTGTTTGGTCTGGAAGATAAGCCATGCGTTTCTGGTTACGCACAGGCACTTGCAACCAGTGATGATGATAGCGCAGGTGCCGAAGGCGAACAGGAACAGCTAGTACTCTCTCCAGATTGCACTCCTGCAGGAATCATGGGATGGCTTACTGGTCAAAAACACAAACCTCTCGATGAAGAACCGCTTACAGTCACGGTTAGATTCAATCATGATTGTGCTATGCATAATCCAAACCATCGCATCTGCTATCCAACAGTTGGAGCTTGTGCCAAAGAAATTTCATTTCCCGTCGCTCATATGAAGACAGCTGAAGAGTTTAATGATGTTTTTATGGTGGCTATCTCCAAAGGACAGACTTTTGAAAAAGCATGAGCAATTTAACATGTGGATGAATCAGTAGTTCACAAAAAAATTATGGGACATCAAAAAGCTATATATCAAGTCCCTGCCATATTTTCTGGCACAGCACTCCGGAAGTTTAATTCTTTGTTTGCAATGACGTAAATTTGGGATTTCAGTTGACGGACAGCTATAACAAAAAACCAGCTATGTCAATGTATTGAGTTTAGAGACAGTTTAAGACTCAAAAGAAGAATTACCATTCAGTTTTTCTCGCTACAGTCATTCTGATAGGAGAAAAATTGTCCATATTAAACATCACGTGATTGCAAACAAAGAATTTTTAATGTGCTTTAAAGTTTCATATTAATAGGATCCATATTGTTTTGGTTCTATTAATTAAACAAATTGATATACGAAAAAGGAAATAAACCAAGGTGATAACTTTTAAGTACAGCTACCCCTGTACCATTACAGTCCTACAACTGGGAATGTATAAACAGTAGATTATTTAATTGCATGGTACAGTAACATTGTTGAGTTCCTGATTTTACATTAAATGGTGACGAGAATCACCAGTACAGTCCTACAACTGGGAATGTATAAACAGTAGATTATTTAATTGCATGGCACATTAACATTGTTGAGTTCACAGTTTTATATTAAGTGGTGACTGGAATATGGTAACTTATTATCCTACATTTTGGTTTATTCATATCCAGTATTTAAATAATGTTGTTTTCTGTTGTTTCTACTGTTTCCAAGTTTGACTTTATTTTTCTCATTTACAGTAGCCTACAACCATTTGTCAGATTAACAATTCGCAACATCAACAAATGAAACATATACAGTACCTTGTTTCTGGCCTTATTAGTAATCAGGCCAAAGTTGGCATGATAGTGTTGTATAAACCAATTTTGATCATTGATACACATCTCAGTATTATCATCTCAGTATTATCATAACTATTGAAGGTAGATGAAATGAATAAAATGTTCTCCATGCATGGTGAAATGCCATGACTAAAAATCTGCCCTACAGTATGTTCAAAGTGAATTTATTGTATTGCTCACATTTTCATCATTTCATGCACCATTTTCGGCGATTGCCATAAGCTGACAGTACAAATTGTCTGCTTCTTCCCATTTTGTTGGTCTGTTTAGTCCCAAGGTTGCCATTACATAGTCGAAGTATTCTTGATATTCATTTCGGCTGTTTCTATACACTACATGCTGGGAAACATAGTCAATCTCTTCTTGAGGAACCATACTCAAAAGATTAATAGCACCATGATGTTCTGGTAGGAAGAAAAGAGAATCGGGACGCCCTGATCTTGTATCATGCCTTGATTTTCTAATTCGGTGACAGTTCCAATGCTCTTTTACAAAATCTAAGTCCTTTTGAATAAGCTCTGCGAAGCAATACCAAAGACATTCCATACTTATTTCAGCAGCACAATCTAACATTCCTTCTGACTCCATGTCTTTGAAGTGATTCCTCCACCATGATGACCTATTTCGCACAAAAAATGACCACCACGCTTCTATGCGTTGATTTCGTGTCGATGGCACATAGCGATGAGCTTCAAGTTCATCCCTAAAATAACACTGGATTGATGCTGCCAATCCATTCTCAGTACCCATATCTGTTATTAATACTTTTGGACACCCATTAAATTCACCTACAGCATTTAAATAGTATTGAGCAATATTGTCTGGAGAATTATTGGAGCGAGTCACGTTTAACCACAAAATTTTTCTACTGAATCCATCAATGGCTCCATGGACAGGAAAGCCAAATGGCTTAAGTTTATCATACCCATCCATGTGCCATGAATGGTTTGGGCCAGGATTATGATACTGCCTTCGCTTTAACCTGTGAGCCTTCCTGCGCCCTGTTCCCTCTGGATCTAGCTCTTTTAGTATTTCTTGAACAACAATTCGGGGGACCTGCAGACCTTCCATCTTTAAGGTGTGCCAGACTGTTCTGTAACCACCACAGGATCCAGGTCCATTTATAATTTCAGTTATCCGTCGTCTCACTATCTCTAAGATGTCCTCTGAATTAACTTGTTCGTTGAATCCCTGCCTGTAAAGGCCATATGACTTTAAACGTCTGCAGAGTGTCCTATAGCTTATAGAAAAATTATGCTGTTTTGCAAGAAATTGAATTATTTCATTATAGCTAAAACCACGGTTAAAATAAAATGTAATAAGTTCTTTTTCGTCGATTTCTTCACTATCTGTGCTACTTATTGACTCTTCATCATCAGACTCTTCATCAGTTATTTCATTCTGATCCACAAGAAAATCTTAACAAGATTGTTAAACATTTCAATAGAGCGTTTTTTAATTATGATCAAATGCGAATAGACAATAGCCTAATGTATCGATCAATTCGAAACTTCACCCCCCCCCCCCGGGAATTTGAACTTTTTGAAATGTGACTGATCAAATTCTCCACCCCCTGAGCAAAAATTGTCTTCAAATGCCCCACTGTAACAAGAAATTAAGCGTTCAAATGCCCCACCTTCATATGAAAATTATAAAACAGTAAATACAAAAAGTACAAAATATATGGAAATGTTTTTCGACAAGATAGCGAAATTCACGTAAAAAGTTTGGATACCTTGTGGAAATTTACCAGTTTTACACAATTATGTAGTACATACCTTCGAATGAAACACATAGATTTTCCATTCCCGTTTCTTTGAGCCAGTTTTTCACAAAATTGAGGCCGTTTCCCTTGAAATCTGAGAAAACTGTATTTGCCGCCAATGCGAAGTATTTTCTGTACATGCAGGAAGCACGCGAAAACGGGCAAAATTTTAAGACTTCCGGTTCAAATTCCCCACCCCGTTATCAAGTGCCCCACCACATGGAAGACCTAGAACGTCAAATTCCTTACTCCCTGGAGAAGACTTGAAGTCAAATTCCCGGGGTATGATGATGAAGTTTCGAATTGATCGGTACATAAGAACAAGGTTTGTGCAAAGCTGAAATGTTTCTGTAGCAAATTTGCTACAAAGTCTCGACTTGGTATTATTATTCTTGAAAATTAACTAGAGCATAGAGTATAGTTTAGGTTGGGGTGTCAATATTGCTGTTTGTTCCCAACATGATAGCAACCCCCAAATAGAGAACAAGGCCAAAATTTATTGACTTCCTGCCTCAGGTTCGGGGGGGGGGAGACTATAGTTGTTGAGCAACATCTGAATGTTCTGATGTTCGACCATTTTTCCTCATATCTGAATATGTTGTTTAAAAATAACCTCTATTAGCTGCATGACTCAAACAGAATAAATGGGCAAAGAAGGTATAAGGCAGCCTGCAACATTTATTGGAAAGCAATACCTCTCAAGGCGAAACGACAATGGATCATATACAATACATACAATTTCCACAACTCGAACAAAACCTATCTTCTGCCCGAGTCCGTTCAGCTCCACAAGCTGAACGAAACATATTTCAATTTAAAAAGTTACAGTTTAATAAAAGTAGGAAAATAAATCGAATCAATTCACAAGTAGTTCAATGCACCAGGGTTGCCAGATTGCTGAATAAATAAGCCAAACATTGTTATAAACGGCCTTTTGTTGTCTTTGTTTCGAACAAAGAAAACAAAAGATTATGATAATAATATTTGGCTTATTTATTCAACAATCTGGCAACCCTGCAATGCACCCATCATATATTTCTTACATGAATTACTGGCAAAAATTAAGAGCCGCTGACCAAACCCTGACCAGTTTTTTTATTTTTATTTTGCCGTGATGAATTTGCTTTTGCCGTGGGTAATTTGCTCTTGCCGTTGATAATTTGCTCTTGCCGTGGCACATGTGGGCCACAGTAATTAGCTGTATGCGTCCACGTATAATAGTTTTAACAAGTTAATTAACAAAGAGATATAGTGTTATATAGTGTTTTACTGCTTAAACTACTTACAAGGTATAATGACACGTATACGGATTATGTGCAAGTTTATAATGACAGTTTTTTATAGTAACACATTCTAGAGCAAAGTAAAATATTCTATTTTGAATCATGGACAAAACCTTAACAAATCTGTAGTTTTTGCTCAAAATTTCACCAATATGTTGATTATAATTGGAATATAATGAGATTCTAGCAATCCGTCTATTCATACATGAAGGATTCACTATTAATATTTGCAACAAAACCAATTGAAATAAAAAAAACTACAGCATTGAAAGAAATTTCGATATTCTAGTGAAATTGAATAACACGTTCTACTATAGGGTCAAATATTCTATCTAACAGAATTTGAGAGGAAAATGAAAGAAAACACTAAAAAATGCAATGAATACAGCCATGACTGTGGAGAAATTATACATAAATGTAATCATTCTGCATGAAAACAAGAATTCCTTTTCAAACATGATAAAAATTGGTTAAAAACATAAGAATAATTGCAAATGTGGACAATGACAGATTTCATGTTTTAATAGGAAAATCACATCAAATGCATTTTAAAAATGACTGAAAATATATTCAGCATAAACATACACATTTTGCAACAATTTTAGCTTTTCCAAGTTGCAGGATATGACTAAAATGAAATCTGCTGTGTAGGTGTAATGTACTCTTCAGTTGAATAAGATGTTTGTGTGATGTTACTCTGAGTGTGTATCCTGCCCAGGCTTGAAAAATATGCCTGGCCACGGCGGGATTCGAACCTACGACCTTTGGAATACTAGCCCAATGCTTTTCCAACTGAGCTACGCGGTCAAGACGGTTCGAGTATGCGATATTTCGGAACTGAGTCTAGTTCCTTCGATAACAGTGTAATCTAATAATCATGAAATCTGCTGTGTTGGTGTAATGTACTCAGGTGAATAAGATGTTTGTGTGATGCTACTCTGAGTGTGTATCCACAGCGGGCAGGCTTGAAAAATATGCCTGGCCACGGCGGGATTCGAACCTACGACCTTTGGAATACCAGCCCAATGCTCTTCCAACTGAGCTACGCGGTCAGGACGGTTCGAGTATGCGATGTGGGCTAGTATTCCAAAGGTCGTAGGTTCGAATCCCGCCGTGGCCAGGCATATTTTTCAAGCCTGCCCGGTGTGGATACATACTCAGAGTAACATCACACAAACATTTTATTCACCTGAGTACATTACACCAACACAGCAGATTTCATGATTATTAGATTACACTGTTATCGAAGGAACTAGACTCAGTTCCGAAATATCGCATACTCGAACCGTCCTGACCGCGTAGCTCAGTTGGAAAAGCATTGAGCTAGTATTCCAAAGGTCGTAGGTTCGAATCCCGCCGTGGCCAGGCATATTTTTCAAGCCTGCCCGGTGTGGATACACACTCAGAGTAACATCACACAAACATCTTATTCACCTGAGTACATTACACCAATAACACAGCAGATTTCATAAATATTAGATTACACTGATATCGAAGGAACTAGACTCGGTTCCGAAATATAGCTTACTCGAACCGTCCTGACCCGTAGCTCAGTTGGAAGAGCATTGGGCTAGTAATCCAAAGGTCGTAGGTTCGAATCCCGCCGTGGCCAGGCATATTTTTCAAGCCTGCCCGGTGTGGATATACACTCAGAGTAACATCACACAAACATCTTATTCCCCTGAGTACATTACACCAACACAGTAGATTTCATGATTATTAGATTACACTGATATCGAAGGAACTAGACTCAGTTCCGAAACATCGCATACCCGAACCGTCCTGACCGCGTATCTCAGTTGGCAGAGCATTGGGCTAGTATTCCAAAGGTCGTAGGTTCGAATCCCGCCGTGGCCAGGCATATTTTTCAAGCCTGCCCGGTGTGGATATACACTCAGAGTAACATCACACAAACATCTTATTCACCTGAGTACATTACACCAACACAGCAGATTTCTTACTCGCATAAATTTGCATAAATTATGATATAAAAAAATGTTGCAATTATGCATAAATGTATTTACCGGTTCAAATTTCAAATATGTCAAAAAAATTTATGAATATGACTGAAAGACACGGTTATGATCTACAAGTACCCGAAGTTTCATGCATGTAGCATAAATAGAAATATTTTTATTGAATTTTTATATAAACGAGGTAGTAGAGTAAAATTTACATTTTGTGCCCACATGAAACAAATACCTTTATCAAAAGTCCTTTTTTATTGCTGCAACATGTTATCAATACAAATTTCCAATATTTCTTACTCTCCAAAGATAGTATGGCACCAAAATAAGTCTGTGATACCCACAAAAGAACACTCAAATCATGATTAGCAAAATGTCTTTATTTCTACAATTACTACATACATTCTTAGATAATCATTACACCATTGACTTTAGTTATTAGTGGCATAACCAGCCTCAAAATTTGGTCATGCTATTCGAATTTGAGATAATCACTACTCATTTGTTTAGAAATCGATTGTTTTCACAATCTAGAACATGAAAATATTTGCAAATAGCATGACCAAGTGTTGTTGGGCTGGCATCATCATAATTAGTAGTTATAAAAAAGTAATGTTTTCCAAGGCAGTAATGTTTGCTAAAGCAGTAATGTTTCCCAAAGCACATAATTGGATTATGTGGTGAAAATAGTTCCTTTATATTGTACTACAAAAGACCTAAGACTGTAACCAAACTGATATCAGATCACCACGTCATACCCAAATCTGTTGCGATGAATATCTGGACTTCTTCTTGTATAAATTTCAAAGTCGCAATTTAACCATTAGGATTGTCTGCAGCAACCCACAGATTTATTCCCCACATAGTAGGTCATCTAGCTTTAATGAACTGCCTAACCCCCAACCTATTTCTTGATTTGACAGTGTGTTTTTCTGCAACAACAATATTCTGTGACAGCTGGTACAGTTGTTGATGCAGTTTATTGCTGTAGTCTTTAGTACTGGATCTACCATATTCACAAATGCCATAAGCGCTTTGTATCTAACCCGAGAAATTATTTCTATTGCCCACAGACCATGATATAAGGTTTTTACACTCCAATAATTTTCAATCTCACTGTCAACTTTTAGCAAACCTGCATATACTAAAAGGCAATCAACCTCTCAAGGTTGGTGGACTGCAAGACCATTCTTTATTAGTATATGGGGATAACTTTTGAGTTATTTGTATGTGGGCATATGTATTGGTATGGCCAGGAAACTATCTCCTGAAGCATTCCCTTAGTAAAAAAGAGTCGAATGAACTCAAGCTCACAGTTCATTGAGCCGAATGAACTCAAGCTCACAGTTGATCGAAATGGATCCCGTACATGTCAGTAAGGAGCAAAATCTGGGAGAACATTCCTAGCGTCAGGATCATCATATCCGTCATGTACTATGGGGCCTAGTGGGGATGCTAGACAGGGAGCTTTTGAAACCTTAGGTCCTAATGGCTGGGCTTCCCTCTACCTCTACTCATCCCCCTACCTTCCCTCTGGGTTGGTGAGTGGGGTTCTCATGACTCATCAGAACTCTACTTCCCAGAGGCTATGAAACAGGAACAGCAGATAGGAACAGGATCAATATATTCATCAGTGCAAATAAAAACTTTTATAGACATGGTGCGACTTAAAATTATAATAAGAGCCAAACTAGTAAGATATAAGTATGAATACTTGGCTATTATGTATGTAACAAACAACCAAACATGTGCTCAAGGCTCATTTTACGTCGCCTAGGAATCAGA